GCTAAGTTAACATACTTGTTTATCTGAAAAACAATGCTATAGTCAGTTATTCTCCTTTGAAAATGTGCGTTCCGGGCCGGAATGTCGGTCTCTGTTTTGGTCTGTGATACCCGCCCACTGCCAGTTTACCCAATTGTATTTCCTCAGCCCGGGTTGGCAGTTGGCGGAAAACAGAGCGGATTTCATTTCATTCATCATCGAGTGCACTCGTTCCTGTTGGTGTTGTCAATCTGGCAACCTGCATGTGCATCAAGTCTGAGGAGGAGGCCAAAAGGGTCTGGCTGCAGCTTGGCGCTTGCACTCTCAGACTTGCACTCTCAGACACTCGCACTCTCGAACTTGCACTCTCAGACACTTGCACTCTCAGACTTGCACTCTCAGACACTTGCACTCTCAAACTTGCACTCTCAGACACTTGCACTCTCAGACACTTGCACTTCCGCTAGCGACGTCACTTGCAGTCTTTTTTATTTTGTTCTATTTATTGATTACTTTTTGTTTGAATCTCTCAACATTTTACAACAGTAGCCAGATGGTGAAGACAAGAAAAAAAGAAGCTAAATTACGAAATCACTTGCAATCGCCACTTGCACTCTCCGCTACCTGCGACGTCACTTGCAGTCGACACAAATCGTGCATGTTGCCAATGGAGACAAGAAGCTGTGATGGAGATTAAACGATTACAACTAATTTAGTACCGTAACCTACAGGGTCCTGCAAGAAAAAGTCAAGACCCTCTCTTGTTGCGCGTTTTCCTCCTGTAGAAAAACATAAACACTTAATATGGCGTAATGTATTAAGATGCATTAAGTGCAATTAAAAGATCAAATTCGATATATAGTTATTATTTCATGTTCTACAAGGCAAGCAGATGGCCATGAACACAATGCGCAAACTTTCACTTGTCCTCCCATACAGCAAACGCTTAATGTTGTATAATAACAGATGATAAAGACAATTCAGTAGCCTATATGTCTTGTTGTTGACTCAAAGTATATACAGAACAGCAAATATGAACGTGCATTATGAAATGCATTAAGTGATTTTAAAAGGATCAACTCCGTACAGGCAAGCAGACGAGCCCAGAACGCAATGCGTTAAATTGCACGTTAAACATTTTCCTCCTATAGAAAATCATTATAAATAAAACACGTAATGTAGCTTAATGGACAAAGACAATGATATAAAAGAGCTGTAGACAGTTTATTCTATATGGATAAACGCTTAACGCGAAACTGTGCGTGTTGCATTTATTCTGGGCTCACCTGCTTGCCTGTACATATTAGTTATGTATATTAATAATGTAGAGGAGCATACTGAGTTTGGCCTTTTTAGTCCATTATGCCACGTTTTGTGGTTAGAGGAAAATACTATATACATATTCACTATATTAATAAACTGTATATTGAATTTGATATTTTAATAGCATCTTACATTACGCCATCTTAAGTGTTTATGTTTTTCTACAGGAGGAAAACGCTTAACGAGAGACTTTGTGCATTGCTTTCATATTCTGCTGTTCTGTAGCCACGGATTTGCAGGTCTTGTCTTTTTGTTGCAGGACCCTGTAGGTTACAGTACTAAATTAGTTTGAATCATTTAATCACCACCACAGCGTCTTGTCTCCATTGGCAACACGCACAATTTGTGTCGACTGCAAGTGACGTCGCAGGTAGCGGAGAGTGCAAGTGGCCAATGCAAGTGATTTCGTAATTTAGTTTCTTTTTTCTTGTCTTCACCATCTGGCTACTGTTGTAAAATGTTGAGAGATTCAAACAAAAAGTAATCAATAAATAGAACAAAAGAAAAAAGAAAAAAAGACTGCAAGTGACGTCGCTAGTGGAAGTGCAAGTGTCTGAGAGTGCAAGTCTGAGAGTGCAAGCGCCAAGCTGCAGCCAGACCCTTCTCTGAGGAGGGGCGGGGTGAAAAAAACCCTCTCCAATATTTTGAATTTGGACTGCAATACCTAGTTCAACCATTGACGGCTCGTGGGTTTTTAAATTGAGGAGGCACTCTAATTGTATTGGTCTGGGATCCCTGCCGATTATTATTTTTATTATTTGCTTAACTACTTTAAAATGGCTTTTTGGTTGCTTTTAGTCAGAAAACGTAAAGAAAACGACACACATACAGCAAGATAATATCATTTCACTTACCTGGACTATCACTTGAAGCAAACATCCATCCCTTCTTAAAAGTCTGTGTTAAAAGAGAGCTGCCTGTTGCGCCTTTTAAGTAAGCAGACTGATGTAGCCTATATCCAGCTTAGGCTGTTTTCCCTAAATTTGTATATATATACTGTTTGAATGACAGCGTGGTAAATCTTTTGGCGATCAAATATTCAATATCGCTACTCATCATAAGTACTTGGTACATTATCAGCAGAGGTTCAAACTAATATCACGCAATTTACATCTCTGTGGTTGATATCAGAAGAAGGCTAGCCTCCCCTACAAGGGTTCTTTTCTCAACACTCCTCAGCGCTGAAAGTGACCTTTAAAGGGGTCATATGACGTTGCTAAAAAGAACATTATGTTGTGTATTTGGTGTAATGCAATGTGTTTATGCGGTTTAAGGTTAAAAAAACACATTAATTTCCATATAATGTACATTATTTATTGTTTCTCCTCTATGCCCCGCCTTTCTGAAACGCGTCGATTTTTACAAAGCTCAGCGTTCTAAAAAAGCGAGGTGTGCTCTGATTGGCCAACTATCCAGTGCGTTGTGATTGGCCGAATACCTCAAGCATGTGACAGAAATGTTACGCCCCTTAACATACTATGATGCTGGAACAGTGTTGTAAATACAACTTAACCACTGATTTCTAGTCGTGTCCTCTTTTGGAAGGCCAAACAAAGTAGTTTTGCTTTCACAACGAATCACACAGCGCCTTCACGACATGGCGGCGGCAGCAACAATACTACAGCGAGAATAAAAGTTACGCCTTCTTTCTTTGCGTGAACATTTGGGCGGCGTTATGCAAATCTTCCCACATAGTGACGTAGACATGTGGGGGCGTGTTAGAACGAGCCGTTTTAGGAGGGGGGGGTTGACTCTTAACTTTTATAAAGAACATCTCTTTGGATTTGAGACTTTAGTCTTTGCAACTTTACAGATCTTCTTTATGCACCAAGAGCTTGTAACACTCCAAAGAGAAAGGAAAAATTGAAATCGCATCATATGACCCCTTTAAGCTAAGCCCCGTCTGTGAAACCGGCCCTTAATGGTCTTTGACACTTAGAATTTGACTTCTCCTGATTATTTTTGATTAGCACATTGAACACTGTTTTTTCTCAGATGATGTTGGCTAACAGGTTTACTGCATAACTGCTCACAGCTATGAAATGTGGAACAGCAAAAACAATATACTGCATCCAGATATTTGAATATACAAGCATTTGTACAATACAGTAGTTGTATTTGGAAAATAAAACAAAATTGAGAAGAAAAAAAAATTACCCACAAAGATTACAAAGTATGCACATCCAACAGACCAAAAGCTCAATGCGGGTGTGAAAAATGTCACCTGTGGTGAGAACATGAATATCTTTCTACTTTTGGAGACATGGTGTGCCAACTTTGATCTTGGCACACCAAAAAGAATCTTCTTATATTAAAAATATATGGAAATCTTATTAGAAATAGAGTAGAAAAGAAAAAGGAAAAACTGAAATGGCCTTAGAAGTGGTTATTATGTGAGATTGTGAAAACAATCCTTACAAAGTAATATATTTGCTAAAAAGCCGTTTGATTAGAGCCTTCTCACCTTCCCAGGATCCTTTGTTTTCATTCCAATCGTTTGAATCTTATGTTTATGCTAAGACAGTAACGTTGAAGTTTGAAATTTAAATCAAGCGAAAAATGTCAAGATGAAACTACTGATAAATGCCTAGAGCGTGTTTGGATCTGTCAGTGTGCAAACCTCAAGGTTTCACATTCTTTTAGTGGTGCAAAAGCTCTCGAGACTCATAAAGAACAATAAAAGCATACAAACTGAAGCAATGGACAGTATTTTAACCTTAAGACAGCTATAAAGAATTACTCATAGATAAATTAAATAGGTTAATACTTTTGGCTTGAAATGTTACGCAACTGAAAATGAATGACCGATCTAGCAATGCTGCCACAAGTTTTCCCGTAACTGTTTCAAGCCCTCCCCAGGCTTGACTCCCACCCTTACACTTCAGCATGTGCTCATATATAGATAGTAAGACAAGCAGTCAGGATCCCAGCCAGTTCCTCTGTCTCCTCCAGCATGTTCACACAGCTGCTCTCTCTCTGGGTGACTGGGGCATTACTGCTGCCCCTGAACTGGGGTAAGTACAAAACTGTTGCCCTTTAACCTCTCACAAGAGCTAGAGGACATTCACAAATATAATAGGATGCCATTATGTCTGTACATTTCTTCTGCACAGTAAAATATGTCTTGGAAATGGTTTTCCCTTCATAGTTTTTTTTAACTTTATTTGTTTTCCTTTGTGAATGGATTTGCCTTAAGCTTACTTGGGTTTATTTAGCAGAAAAGTAGGCCACCGAAGAAATGTCAGAATGCTTTTATGCCGTTTTACTGCTTCTCTTGACAATTTAAGAAACAAAATGTGATAGGGGAACTGAAAAAAAAGTGGTTAGAGAATACAGTCTCTTACTGTGTGAGTGTTATTACTCAGAAATGTCATATTTCAGGAACTCAAGTTGATCTGCTTTCTTTGATTTTCAGGACACAGTAATTGCAATAGAAACAATGGATGTCATAGCTTGCTTATACTACCATTCAAAAGCTGGATCAAAAGTGAAAGTAAAAACTTAAATTGTTACAAAAAGTAATAAATGTTGTTCTATTCATCAAAGAACAAAATTGATCATGGTTTCCACAAAAAAATATTAAGCAGCACAACTGTTATCAACATTGATAATAATAAGAGATGTTTCTTGAGCGCCAAATCAGCATATGAATGATTTCTGAAGGATCATGTGACACTGAAGACTGGAGTAATGGCTGTTGAAAATTCAGCTTTGCATCACAGAAATACATTACATTTTAAAATATATTAAGATAGAAATCAGATATTTTAAATTGTAATAATATTTCACAATATTACTGTTTTTACTGTATTTTAGATAAATGCAGCCTTGAGAATAAAAAAAATAAAAAAATAAATACATACAAAAATAAAATAAACCCCCAATCTTTTATAGTGTATGAATAATAAATTAAACATTTTTTTTTCATTTTAAGTGCAATTCTACAGTTCTTCATCTTGTTTCGTGTGTTGATGCCCATCTGAGGGGTAACAGAAACGAGCCAGCTTTGGGCCTTATCTGTGGTGGGGGGCATGACTGGCATTGTTCACATAGATGGCATTTGCAGGGAATTTCCACCGCAATATTGCAAACGTTATCTTCATCTTCAAGAATCACGCAAGAATTTGAGAATGTTCTTGGCACATCCAGTTCTTTAGCACTGCAGCCAATATGCCAACAGTGCTCAACAACAGTGCCTACGCATAACAAACATGATATTTAAAGGGATAATTCACCCAGAAATTACTATAATTGTTTACTCACTCTCATGTTGATGTTGGAGAAGTTTTGTAAAAATAAAATAAAATGGTTAAGTGAAAGTCAAACAGATTTGGAGTGACATGAGGGTGAGTAAATGATGACAGTGCTGTTATTTTAAGCTTTAAGAGGTGAAACAAAGGCTGAGTTTTGCAATGACAACTCTTTCAGTGTATTGCACGGCCTGTGATTTAACCAAGAAAACATGAAGAAACATATCCGCACTGGATTCATTTTACACTCAACAAACTATAGCCCAAGGTAGTGTGTCTCAATAACAAAAGAAAGCAAAAGGGAGGGAAGACAGGATAGGAATTTCGGGAAAAAATTAGTTCTTTAATCTTCTTTAAGGTTAGAGCACATCTAGATCGTGTTTCTGCCTGTTGTAAAATTTAGGCAAAAATGAACCTGCCAAAATGACAGTTTGCCAAGGCCAGACTCATTTGTTTCTGGTGGGACAGATGCTATGAGGAGATCTCTTTTATTGGCCCTGTGAAGATCCAGTTCACCTGAGGTCACTAAAACAGAACCCATTCAAACACGGTGGCATTTGTCTTTATAGGAATAATAGTCTCTTAAATTGAAATTATTGACATTGTTTGATATCAAAATATTGCTATACATAAAGAAACATTCTTATTGACTGAATCATAGTATTGTGGTTGAGAAAGATGGAGTTGGACACAGTGGGCTTGCAATGGCATGCTTAAGAAATGCTTTTCTAAAATAAATAAAATGGAAAATTACCTATGAATGGAAGAAAAATGTTTAGATAAGAAGGCCACAAAAGTTCCTTAGCACAGAAAGGTTCACACAAATAGGAAGGTCCATTTGATCTTCATCTAAAAGGCTAAAACGGGTGTTGACCCAGACTCCACAGGCTGCTGCCCTGAAAATCATACATAGCTTTGGCTCAGGCATCTGGCTGTTTTGTCATCTGTTCATGTTGTGCTGTCTTCTCATTGAGCATATATCATTCTTTGGACTGAAAGATAGCATCACATGAACACAGGCCCAAAATCGAAAATCATAACCTCTCCATTCTTGGCTCAAGCTAAAGGTGATATCAACACGATGAACAATAGTTACCCAACACCCAAATAGTTTTAATTAAAAAAAGTTACAATGGCAATAACATGATTCAAAGATGTATTTATTTTAAATTCATGGCTCTCTGAATACTTGCTTCGATTAGTCAGTCTTGACATTCTGTGTTTAAACATGTATGAGAAATCATTCTCAGAGAGCAAACTAATATATATATATATATATTTAGAATGACTCTATACTTTATAATTTATCTTTGCCACATTTATTGTTATTATGTAAAAATACTACATTGATAAAAAAATAAAATCCTGAATGTATTTCAGCTAGTTGCCAACATTTCGTGTATTTTGATAAAGCTAAACCTGAAATAAAAAATGTAAAAAGCTATATAGACATTTTAAATGAAAATCTCAACTTCATATAAAACTAATAACATTTTTAATTTAAAATTAAATAAAAAATAAAATAAATAAATATAACTAATTTAAAATATAAAACCTGTAATAGCACCTCGATACTGATTCAATGTGAACATATTTTTCTTTTTTTTGCAATAATGGTTGGTTATCCATATATTATCACTTGCATATAGTGATATTGTTGCATAAAAAAATCAGAAAGGCACTAAAATAGAATTAAAGCTTTTCTCAAGATTACCTTCATAACCAATTGAAGAGAAATGTGTTTGCTCAAATCCTCTCAGGTACCACATTAGGCAGTGCAGATTATGATGAAGATGTGACGCCAACACCAGATTACGACTACAACGCTACATTCGACTACTATATGTACAGTAAGTTGCCATGTTATTCTTGAGCACTGGTGAGCACATAGCAGACAGCTGTCCTGAAGTCTGAGGACATTTTTAATACAATCTGAAAGTGCCAGTTTGTGGTGTGATGAGACACATAATACTGGACTGATGGACTGACAAACAACTTTACAATGGACGGCAGCAGATATTAAGAAATACACTGAATGCTGCCATTTTTGACCAGTCAGAATTGAGTATTCCAGAGATTCATCTAATAACAATTATGGATAATGCTAACCAATAGCCATAGCTATTTAGATGCTGTTTTAGCAAACTTCCATTCGGTCTGGCTTGATTCTGGTATGTGACACTTTTTACAGGTCAGCCAATTCATAAAATCAAATGACTCCGTACATTGCTCTCTAGAAAACGTGTATTGTTACCAAATTAAAATAAGTTGCAAATAATGGCAAAATATGGGTATTACCATAAATGTAACTGTTTTGTTGTTTCCATTTCAGATGGCACGTCAATTAACTACGAGATGTATGAAATTCTCCACAATACCAAAAATCAAGGACATACGGTATAGTGACATAAACTCTCTATTGTTATGTTATCCACAGGCATTTCATTTCTATAAGCCTGATTAACTTGTGGTATTTGTGACAATTGAAATGAATAGAACTAAATTGGCATAAGATTGTCATGGCATAAAGTGAAAAAAAGAAAGAATAATTAAGCAGACTCGTAAAAGGAAGGATGACAGGAAAGATGCAGAGATTTGCTAGAACAAAAATAGGTTTGTAGAAACTTAAAGGACCATCTTTTGAACAAGCAATTGTTTGATGGCTTTGTTTTTACCAAGAATGCTGCAGGCCAAATAGGAAATCAAAAAGCAAACGATCTCAATGTTTGACTGGGAAAAATATCCATACTGACTGCTTAATGAACTCTTGCTGCTTTTTTAGGATTCAGTGTCAGTGTATAGACACTATGGAATATTAGCAGGACTGCTGGTGCTGCACTTCTGCCAGCAAACATGAAAATCAACTATGGACCAAACAAAAGTGAGTTTTTTTTTTCGATGGCTCTTATTCATCTTTCCTTTATGATGCTTTACAGTCCATTCACAGCCTGGAGTGACTGTTATTTTCTTAGAAATGCATTGTTCATCATGCATAAATCAATCTATATTTAGTCACAGCTGTCTATTACAGAGACTGATGAACTCTCTATTAAGTGCACTATTCTGTACTGTTCGCATATCATAATAGCTACAGCAGTGTGATAATTTGTTATTGTGCTACATGTCAGATAACCATGCTACAGTCATTTCTTGCATGTTTTGTTTTATATTTTAAAGATACCGATATGCTGATGTCATCGAAGAGGAAGGACCAGAACATCCTCTTTGTTGCAGAGCGACATCATTACTGACATTTTCACTGAATTAAAGTCTGGGGCTTTGGAAAAAAGAAGAATCTTTCTTCTAAATGTATCTTTGTTGTTCAAAACTTTTTATATGTGATTTGAAATTATCACAGATTTTATGCTGTTTTAGATGCTTTATGAATTGCTTTATATCAATCTATATTAATTTTATAGATTGCTTTTATTAATTATCCAACAAACATTATCTGAGAAGCCTTTATGAAACTGTAACCAACATTTTCACTTTTGCATAAAGGATGAAAAAAAAAAAAAATTATATATGGTAGTTTTTACTAATTGCTTCCACAGCTCGGCATGTCTGATTAACAGCTCTAAGTGTGAACTTTATTTATATATTTCACAAATTCTTAATGAGGTACTAATATAATTGAATAAAATAAACAAATAAACAATCTATCAGGAAAAAAATAATACAAAATGATGAGGCTAAAAGCACTTAATAGCAGGGTTATTTTAGTATCAGTTTTTAATTTTTGTTTCAGTTTTTTTTAGTGAGATAAGATAAACTAAATGAAATGAGAAATGTTGCCTTGGCAACTAGCTGAAATAAAATATATATAAATATTTTTAATATTTACTTCTGTTAAAGTTTATTTTAAGTATAACAAAAATAGCTTTTGATATAAATAATAATAATAATAATGTGAGACATGCATATTTGTGCTTTTTTCAAATTCGAATCATTATTGATTATTGGGTGACCTCTGACCTTTTTTTTAAATACAGATATCAGACATGCTGCTTTAATTTGCATGCATCATACAGTGGGTACGGAAAGTATTCAGACCCCCTTAAATTTTTCACTCTTTGTTATATTGCAGCCATTTGCTAAAATCATTTAAGTACATTTTTTTTCCTCATTAATGTACACACAGCACCGCATATTGACAGAAAAACACAGAATTGTTGACATTTTTGCAGATTTATTAAAAAAGAAAAACTGAAATATCACATGGTCCTAAGTATTCAGACCCTTTGCTCAGTATTTAGTAGAAGCACCCTTTTGATCTAATAAAGCCATGAGTCTTTTTGGGAAAGATGCAACAAGTTTTGCACACCTGGATTTGGGGATCCTCTGCCATCCCTCCTTGCAGATCCTCTCCAGTTCTGCCAGGTTGGATGGTAAACGTTGGTGGACAGACATTTTTAGGTCTCTCCAGAGATGCTCAATTGGGTTTAAGTCAGGGCTCTGGCTGGGCCATTCAAGAACAGTCACAGAGTTGTTGTGAAGCCACTCCTTCGTTATTTTAGCTGTGCGCTTAGGGTCATTGTCTTGTTTTTTTATTTAAGGGGGTCTGAATACTTTCCGTACCCACTGTAAATAACTTTTGTCTCATTTACTGTGAGACAAGTCCAAGGTTTCAAGCTGCTCATTAAGCGTCAGTCTGCCTGCTGCACAAATATGCACTAACATATCTGACAGTTTCCTGAGCAGACTGCAGTATTCTCTATGTTCTTGTCTCAGCGAAATAAGACAGGGTCACCTTGCATCTCCAATCAATAACTGACCCAGGAACAGCACATTACTCAAATTACAGAAATGAAGGGTTATCCAGTTGCGTTAAAAGAGGTTGGTATTAACCACTACAGTATGAACCCATGTTTAAAAGGTTTAGATATTAACAGCTGGAATTTGTCATTAGCCTATACAAAAAAAGTTGCCACTTGTTAAAAATAATTGTCTAGTTATGTTACTAAAGTTACTAATATGTCTAGTTATTTTGCCCAAAACAATGATTTGATATTTATTTACCTTTTGGTTTCTCCCTTTTCACGAATCATTTCATATTTCTTTAAAAATTTTGCCGATACCCCTAAAATATTTTAATTGTGACAACTTATCCCATATCCATTATAACGTAACGTTAAATGCCCGAGGCTTCCGGTGTCAGTTCGTTCCCCGTTATTTGTTTCGTATCTTTTTATTTTAATCTTTTATCGTGTTACTTTTTTTAGGGAGTAACGCAATATTGTAATGCATTACTTTAAAAAGTAACTTTCCCCAACACTGGTCGTAATTATAAACACACCGATTTGAAGCGCAAATAGTTGAACCGTTTACTGCACTTTGTTATTCTTCTACTCATTTACCTTTAGCGGCTAATGAATATGAAGTCTCGCACATTCACAGAAAATAGCTTACTTCCGCAATGAAAAATAAGTGAGTTGTGAAACACAATGGGGCATGTTGTCACAAAAGAAAAGTACGTTCGATGAGCTATATTTTTTCCTAGACTTATTATTTTTTTTATAAAGACTTAGGTTAGTGCCCATACAGAAAGAGTAGAAATAAAAAATAAAAAACTATGCTGTACCGAAAATATTAAGTTAAAAAGTGTGACAAATGCCAAGCGTATAGCCTATTATAAATGTAAAACATATCATAAGCTGTAAAATATTTAAAGAAAGAAAGAAGCGCTCTCGGATGCCCCCCGCGGCGCGTGAAATCTCTCCATTCACACGCGAGCTGATGGATGAGAGATGCGTGATCTCATCATATATTCAGTAGCCAACGTTCTCTCGAGACCACTGGAGACCTCACGAGTAGCGGTGCTACTTACAGAACGCCCACCTACACCACATTTTCTTTTGACTTTTGCCTTTGAGCACGCAGACGTGAGATGTTCGCAGGGTAAGGATGAATTCGTTGGCAGTGTCGGTGTTAAAACAGCTGCTTACGTTCTCAGCTCTGGATGCAGCAGATGATTGTGTTGTAGCACCGACTGCTGTGAGAAACTGTGATGTTTCTTTTCCGTAAGCGCTCCTATTAGCAGTTTTGATCTATGATTGAAGATGCCGAGGTTCCAGCATTTAAACAGCACTAGTATACCAAATCACAATTATGAATGGAGCTACGAATACTACGACGACGAAGAACCTGTGTCTTTTGAGGGACTCAAAGCACATCGATGTAAGTGTTTGCTGCATTTAGTCCATTATAGCTTAATGTGTTTGTCATCTTTTTCTGTGGGACAATGGTAAGATACTGTGAGATGAATGTTTAAATATAAAAAATGCTACTTTAAAAATGTGTAATGAAAAACAAGTTTATCCAGAAACACAGCACAGTAACAATTATGCAGATATTTATGTAAATATATAAAAATGTATGTGTATTTAATTTATGTGTAAATATAATTGTTTATAGCTACACTGTGTATTATGACATTAAAACGTAGCATTTATATATTATGACATTGTAAATATGTATGTGTGTTTGTGTGTGTATATATATATATATATATATAATAGTCATCTATACATGCAATATATAGTAACCTTGTCAGTTAAAAATCTAAAAACCTGCAAGTAGA